GTACCCAATATTTTCTTTAAACTTAAGAAACTTCAAACATTACAAGTCAAAGACATTACAACTACTGCTTTACGTAAAACTAACAATAATTCATATACAGCTGGACAATTGAAATCATCTGAAAATATAAACAGTTTACTTCAAAATGACCAGGGATTTACATTTTTAAAGACTCTAAGGTCATCACCACCTTATTATCAAAACAAGCAGAAGGAATTATTTGCAATATTGAGACAGCTAGGCCTGCCAACTTTCTTTGCTACTTTTTCAGCAGCTGAGACTCAATGGTTAGACTTACTATGTATCTTAGCTAAGAAAGAATATAAACGGGACATTTCTGTGGAAGAAACTATTGCAATGAATTGGATGCAGAGATGTGAATTGATTCAAAAGCACCCAACAACATGTGCCAGACACTTTCACTATAGAACTCAGATATTTCTAAACAATATTTTGAAATGTAAAAACTCCCCATTAGGAGAATTACAGGACTATTACATAAGAGTGGAGTTTCAACAGCGAGGCTCTCCACACTTGCATTGCTTGTTTTGGATTAAAAATTCACCAATATATGGATCTAGCCAAATGAGTGATATCCTTGAATTTATAGACGCACACATAACTTCTAGTTCTAATGTCTCAGAAGAAGATCAACAGTTTGTAAAATTGCAAAAACATCGACATTCCAAATCATGCAAAAAGAAAGGCAAGCGTGTATGTCGCTTTGGATTTCCTATTCCTCCCATGGCAGAAACCTTGATTTTAGAACCATTTCCTGCAGATCATTCAAAAACAGAAATTCTCAAGCATAAGGGCAATTACAAAAAAATTAGTATAGTATTAGAAACCCTGACAGGTGATGAGGATATGACCTTTCAAACTTTCCTTACTAAATGTAAATTAAATAACCAACAGTATATAGATGCTATTCGTTCATCATTGTCAAGGAAAAAGGTGTTCTTGAAGAGAGCTGTGAATGATGTCAGAATTAACTCTTACAATCTTCAAGTATTAAGAATATGGCAAGCAAACACAGATCTCCAGTTTGTTATTGACCCGTATGCTGTGTGCATATATATAGCTAGCTATATTATGAAATCTCAAAGAGGTATGAGTATGCTTTTGCAAAATGCAGTGGATGAAGTGAAAAGAGGAAACTACAGTGTAAGGGAGAAAATGAGAGTTATTTCTAACAAGTTCTTGAATCACTGTGAAGTTTCTGCACAAGAAGCAATATATCTGCTGCTCCAACTTCCTTTGACACAGAGTTCTAGAGATGTCATTTTCATTAACACCTCTACACCAGAGAAGCGTATTGGTATTTTGAAGCCAGCATCTGTGCTCAAAACACTCCCTGATGAATCTACAGAAGTAATTTGTTCTGGACTCCTTGATAGGTACTCAGAACGTCCACCTTCGATGGAAAATATTATATTGTCACAATTTGCATCTTCTTTTGAAAAACAAGTTGACAGGAAAAAAGGTATCTCTGACACAGTTGATCAAATAGATGGAGTAGACAATAATGTGGAGGAGATAGTTGCAGGTATGAAAATTCATTTGCCTGATGGAAGTTGGCTGGTCAAGAGAAGGGTCCCAAAGGTAATACGTTCAGTGAGATATAGTCTTAAAAAAGATCCAGAGTTATACTATCGAGAGCAATTAATGCTCTTTTTTCCAGGGAGAGAGGAAAATGCTCTCAAAGGACAAAGTACCACTTATGAAGATGAGTTTAAAATACATGAAGCTCACATTATTTCATTTAAGGCAATGTTTGACGCCTTTACCTCAGATGAAAGCATTGAAGAAATTTTCGAAGATGCCAACCAACAGATAGTCAATGATGAAATAGATGATATTGCTCCAAATGCAAGACAAACAGAGGATGATTCAGAACAGCTCAGACAAGACATGGAATCTATACTCCAGCCTGCAGATAGTTCCTGTACACATTATGACATAGGACAAGATATTGGGTGCTCTAATAGTGCAAAAAAAGCCACTGAAATTGTTATAGCAAATAAGCTATCAGACCAAGAATATTTGGAACTAGTTCGTTCTTCAAATCCAGAGCAAAAATGTTTCTTTTACTACATTCTGAATACAACTAAAACAAATGATGAACCCTATTATGTTTCTTATCCGGTGGAGCAGGGGTGGGTAAAAGTCATGTGTTGAAAGCTATTTATCAAGCCTTATTGCGATATTTTGACACTGCAGGTGAAAATCCAGATGAGACAAAGGTAGTTATAGGAGCGCCAACAGGCAAAGCTGCATACAACATTAAAGGTAATACGCTGCATTCGATTTTCCACATTCCTGCTAGCCAGTCTTTGAAAACTTATATACCATTAGACCACAGCACTTTGAACACTCTGAGATGTCATTTTGCTAAGTTAAAAGTCCTTATTATAGATGAGGTGTCCATGGTTGGCATTCAAATGTTTAATTTCCTAAGTAACCGACTCCAAGATATCTTTGGATCAAAAGAGCCCTTTGATGGTATATCACTGCTTTTAGTTGGTGATCTTTTTCAGTTACGCCCTATTCTAGATCAGTGGATTTTTTCATTGTCAACAGCAGATTATGGACAACTAGCAACTAATTTTTGGCAAGATTTGGTTACATTTTATGAACTGAAGACTGTTATGCGTCAGAGAGATGATGCTCAATTTGCACATATACTCAATAGAGTCCGAGAAGGGATACAAACAGAAAATGACATTCTCACATTATCCACAAGACTTGTTTCATCACCTAGGGAATCTAATAAAGACAATTACATACATTTGTTCAGTTCCAATGCACTTGTTGATGAGCACAATGTATATTCATTATCAAAGATAGAGGGTCATTTATATGTTGCTCAGGCCTCTGATTATGTAATTGGAGATGTAACAACAAATGTCAGAGACTCTATATTAAACATATCTAAGACTCTTCCACCACAAAAAACTCAAAACTTGCTCTCATAATTACCTTTGAAAGTTTCTGCAAACTACATGATGATTCAAAATGTAGATATAAAAGATGGTCTAACCAATGGAGCTTCCTGCCAACTTGTGCATATTGACATATCAAACAATAAACCGATACTTTTGTGGGTTGTTTTTCTGGACAAAGACATTGGTGCGACACAAAGGAAAAAAAGCAAATCACTATACAAAGGAACTATTAGTCCTAATTGGACACCAATATATTTCATAACCAGACAATTTCAAGTAGGAAAATACAAAAATGTTCAAATCGTTCGCAAACAGTTCCCATTGAAACCAGCTGCAGCATCAACAGTACACAAATGTCAAGGAATTTCACTTTCTAATGCTGCTGTTTCCTTCAAAGGACGCATCCAAAGTCACATGGTATATGTGGCATTAAGTCGAGTTACCTCACTACATGGTCTCCATCTTCTCGACTTCAACAAGGACAAGATCACAATTGACAAGAATGTCAAAATTGAGATATCCCGACTTAGAAATGAGAAACAGATTGTTTACAGTCAATTGCCACTTGCAAAGCCAAAACTTGCTATCTTATGCCATAATGCAAGATCATTACACAAACACATAGACGACTATAGAAATGATGATCGTATATATCAGAATGATGTAATATTTATACAAGAAACTTGGGCTAAAAAGTCAGATTCATTAGATCATTATATGTTGAATGGTTTTAATCTCATTGACTTTTACCCACATGCAATACATTTACACAGACCTCATTGTGGCATCTTTGCATATGTAAAAGAAGGACTACAGGTTGATTCAATAGAATTCATTGAGGAAGAAGGGATAGAGGGAATACAGTTGATAGTGTCATTATCTGAAAAATACTATTGTCTGACATCAATATACTGTCATCCATCAACCAATGTGGACAGCATTTGTGATACAATACATTCTGTTGTGACACCCAATCATTACATTGTTCTTCTTGGAGATATCAATATTGACCAATTCAAACAAACTACGCAGTTGAAAAAACTTCAGGGTACTATGCATGCACTTAATTTAGGCCAAGCTCATATCGATGAAACCACAGACAATCATTCTTCCATTGACCATGCCTATATTACAAGACAACAACAGTTTGAAAGTGGGAGCCTAGAAAGTTATTGGAGTGACCACAAGATACTATGGTTTCATATTTTATAAGGTTTAAGTCTCATAAACGTATCTCTTCCTTGTTTGACTTCATGATTTCTGCCTACCCACCCCTGCTGAACAAACGTGTGTGTACTTATATGCTCTCTGATATTTCAAAATGATGTCACTTATGATAACTAGATGGTCAAACAGGTCAAGCTTGATTTTTGCCTTTCCATTTGAAAACCATACAATTCATTCATTTTTTTTTTTAGATATTTTCAAAATCCTAGGTAGGTGGACTTAGTAATTTTTTTTTACTTTATGCATTAAGGGCACACAGTTTGTCCTGCTAGAGGGTCATTTTCTATCTAGTTTATATGTTGTTATATTGTTGACAACATGGAAGTCAAGTTTGATATTGATGATCATAAATTTTACCTATTAGGAGTTTTGGTCCTTGTGATATTGATTAATGCCAGAACACAAATAAATGTTAAAGAATCCGGTTTACTGTCATTTTGACAGCTCTTGTTATATATTGAAATGAAACATTAAAAAGTTCAGACAGATGTCATCTCCATTCTATAGAAATCACATACGCAGGACCAGAACCATAAATCATTACAATTATCATTGTTATTACATACATTAATTTACATTTCGTCTAACATCTAGACATGTAATAATATAGTTCCCTAAATATTTAAGTACAGACAAATTTTCATTAGTAAATAACCTATTTGATACGATCCGAAGTTATTCTGAGATACTCCGTCTTTGGGTCCTTTAATCCATTTGAGTTATCTCCCTTGAAATGAAAAAAAAAAACTTCTTCAGATTCAGATTGAATGGATTTCGGATTCAGTAATGGTTTGGATGTAATATCAGCGTACATTTTTACTGGTTTAAACATTTAGCAAATAACTTGCATACACCATATTGTTAAAAATCACGGATCTCCTGTAGTTGGTGATCGCAATACTGGTATACTTGTATTGTGCACAATACTGCCATTACTGGTATAAAAATTTTGTACCAGTATTGTATTCCAGTATTGTTCCCGTGAGTATTGTGTTTTTTTTTAAATAAACAATACATATAGGTAATTAATCTTTTATTAATTATTAAAGGTGTCACATATATATGCATAATGATATTAACATATGACATGACAATTTTATATGGGATGATTGTATGATTAACTGATGAAGCCATTGATGGTACACTGTGATTGTAATCAAAGAAAGTTTTAAATCTTCTGATGTTTTTTTCTTAAGGGAACCGTACTGTCTCAGCATTTTAACAAACTCTTTACTTTCTTCTATGTTTTCTTCCAGCTCTCTCTTTCCAAGACTCAATAGTATATTTTAGTGAATTTTATATTGACATTAATGCTGTTATAGCTTCTGTATCATCAGCATTGGTATTGTTTATTTCTTCTTCAGATGGCATTTCTGCAACCTCCACTTCCTATATTGATATTTAGGTATTCAGTCTGTGGACTTTCTCTTACGCTTACTAGATTACAAGCTTGTTTAGATAGCACCTGTACGGTGATCTTAGTATACATGTATTAAAATATCTGTAAAAAATATACGATGGCATACATGTAAATGCTGAATTTACAGTGTTATAGTGTAATAATTTGTTTGAATTTATTAAATAATAACTCAGATTATAAAGCTTTTATTTTATTTTATCTAAATTGAATTAAATAAAATATAGAAATATGATAAAATTTTTAGCAATTATTTATATAATTAACAATTGTTTGAATAAGATGAGTTAATTACAATAATCTTTTGTTTATTTGTACAAGTATAGTTATTATTTTTAACTGGTTGTTAATTGATTTCATTTCATAATTATCCTCTATATTCTTTTTGAGTTCATTTAATCTCCCTTTGATCTTCAATATCTAATTTTGCTTAAAATTCATTTTTCATTATACACTTTAAAGTATAGTGAACAATGCAGCTACAATACTGGTATATCAGTAATGTACCAGTATTGCTGTTTTTAAAAAAAAAGTTACAATACTGGTACAAAATTTTTATACCAGTATTGCGATCACCAACTACAGGAGATCTTCGTTTCTGTCATTTCTACTGAGACAAAATAGTGCAGTACCGGTAAGTCCCAGAAAAGACAGAGAATTCTACCTATTCAAAGTACACCCTAGTCTACTTCATAATTTGCTTGTTGCATCAATATTGAATAGGGGCAGATATTTTGGATGGAGGGGGAAATAGTAAGAAAGTACAGGGAAACCTACATGTATGCATGTTTCCAAGCAACTGTTCGGTTTCAATGATGTTTTCCGGTGTTTTTCAAAGCATTGTAATTATAACCTCCTTTATCAGTCGGGGTATGACCACAGGCACTTGTCTCTGAAAAAAAAAATCCTATATACTTTAATAGTAATATAGGTTACCTGGTATATAGGAAAAAAATTTCAGTGACAGGATCTCCTGAAGTTGGTGATTGCAATACTGGTATACCATTACCAGTATTGTGTGCACAATACTGGTATAAAAATTTTGTACCAGTATTGTACCAGTATTGTGTTTTTTTTTAAATAAACAATACATATGGGTAATTAATGTTTAAATTTATTAAAGGTGTCAGATACATGTATATATGCATAAATTAATGAAATTAACATATGACATGACAATTTTATAAGGAATGATTGGACAAATAGATTGTATGTTTAAATGATGGTACACTGTGATTGTCATCAAAGAAAGTTTTAAATCTTCTGATGTTTTTTTCTTCTTAAGGGAACAGTACTGTCCCAGCATTTCAACAAACTCTTTATTTTCTTCTATCTTTTCTTTCAGCTCTAGCGCTCTCTTTCCAAGACGCATTATTATTGCGGCATAGTATATTTTAGTGAATTTTTATATTGAAATTGCTGTTATAGCTGCTGTATCATCAGCATTGGTATTGTCTATTTCTTCTTCAGATGGCATTTCTGCATTGAACCCTCCTCTTTCTGTATTGGTATTCAGTCTCTGTGGACTTTCTCTTACGCTTAACAACATGACCAGCTTCTTCAGATGGCACTTGTACGGCTCTCTTACTATCGTAGGTGATGGAGTGCTTGTCTAGTACTAGTATTTGTACCAGTTGATATATCTGCTATGAATTATGTTGCGCATGGTTCTGAATCATCTGCTTTAATTACCCTAAACATTCATGTAGTTAAATTGATTATAATCAGGTTCCCCTATTACATGTATTAAGCAACTTTTTATGTTTATTGGATATTGATATCTTTTATTGTGAAAGATAAATTAGAAAATAAAGACCAACAAATATACACATATAATCTTAGTATACATGTATTAAGATATTTGTAAAAAAATATATTATGGCATACATGTAAACGCTGAATTTTCAGTGTTAGAGTGTAATAATTTGCTTGAATTTATTTAACAATAACTCAGACGATAATAAGCTTTTATTTTATTTTACCTAAACTGAATTAAATAAAACATAGAAATACGATAAAATGAATAGCAATTATTTTACATAATTAACAATTGTTAGAATAATATGAGCTAATTACAATAATCTTTTGTTTATTTGTGTAACATGTATCTTTTTGATTTTAATTAGGGCTTATGAGTATTGTGATTATTTTTAACTGGTTGTTGATTAATTTCACAATATTCCTCTTTAATCTTTTTGTGTTCATTTAATCCCCCTTTGATCTTCAATATCTAATTTTGCTTAAAATTCATTTTTTTATTATACACCTTAAAGTATAGTCAACAATACAACTACAATACTGGGTTATCAGTAATGTACCAAAATTGCTGTTTTTTTTTTAGAAGTTACAATACTGGTACAAAATTTTTATACCAGTATTGTGCACAATTCTGGTATACCAGTATTGTGATCACCAACTACAGGAGATCCCAGTGACATGTGCCTGTGGGTATGGATTAAACAAGTGATTTCATTATTTATTTTAGTGAATTGAAAATTTCAGTAATCACCTATTTAAGTGATTCTTGTGTTTCCTTCGATCATTAAATGCTAATTTCAATAATTTTCCATTAATTGACACATTTTTCTGTAATTAGCCTACATAGATCAATTATCCCTTTCTCTAATATAATTTCAGCAGTGTGCTTGGGCAGTAAGTGAGTGTGCTGAAGCTTTAAAAAGTACCCTTGCGAATTTTTCTGAAATCAAATATTCATTAACTACTCTTACAATTCAGACAAAGGTCAACAATTTTAAGTAACCTGATTGGTCCTGTTTACACTTAGAATGATATGTCCTGATCTAGAAATTATTCCAGTTTATACATATTTCAAATAAACTATAAAAACTGAAAGGCTCAGTGAGCATAAATAATTTCTGCATGTATATAGTTGTTTTTTAAATGGAATAAATGTCTTTTATTAAACCAATAAAAAAATCAAGCTTGTGGGAAAAATATCAAACAAAGGTTATAAACATTTACTGAAGTGTTTAAATTTGCCATTTTACTTATCAAATTACTTATTTAGGTGATTTTAAAAAGTCTGTCTGATGCCTGCTTGCATATCATATAGTTATAAAGGGACATAACTGAAGAACGGTAAAAGTGACGCTACCCAAATTTGAACTTGATCTGAGTTTTGTGGTAATAAGCATAAGTCTCATAACATTTGGTTGAGGCAAACTAAAGTTAGAAAACGGAAACAAAATATGTGTACTTGATCTTAGTTTTGTGGTAATGAATATTGTGTATAGGTTTCATAATGTTTGGTTGGGGCAAACTTAAGTTACAGAATGGAAACTAAAAATTTTGCAATCTTTCGATTTATAAAGGGGCATAACTCAATAATGGTTAAAGTGACACTACCAAAATTCAACTTGATCTGTGTTTTATCAGTGGAAGTCAAAATTAAACATTGCATTGTATAAAGCATTGATTGTAGTTGATTCAACTATAATCATGGACAAAGGAAGTTAACTCCAATTTTAAAAATTACTTGATATTTAGAAGAAAATAAAAATTTTGCAATTTTTCCATTTATAAATGGGGAATAACTCTAGAACGGTTAAAGTGACGCCACCAAAATTCAAATTGATCTGTGTTTTGTGGTAATAAGCATTGTGTATAAGTTTCATAACATTTGGTTGAGGCAAACTTAGGTTAGAGAATGGAAACTAAAAATTTTGCAATTTTCCATTTATAAAGCGGTATAACTCTAGACCGGTTAAAGTGACGCCACCAAATTTAAACTTGATCTGTGTTTTGTGGTAATAAGCATTGTGTATAAGTTTCATAACATTTGGTTGAGGCAAACTCAAGTTAGAGAACGGAAACCAATTTTGGGACGTATGCCACCGCTACGGCGGGGGCATAAAAATAAATCAAAGGATTTGTTCATTACAAGTATTATTTTCATTAGCATCAGGTGGTTTCATTACAAAGTTTCCATCTGTCATATGTCATGTACGTCCATTGTCCTTGACCTCATGTTCATGGTTCAGTGACTGCTTGAAAAAAAATTTATTGTTTTTTTGTCATGTGAATTCCTCACTTATTATGATGGTATATGGGTTCCTTGCAATGTTTACATGTCCATCAGATAGGTTTCACCTGACCGACCTAATTTCATGGATCAGTGATCAAGGTTAAAGTTATATGATTAGGTCCATTTCTCAGATACTATAAGCAGTATGTTCTGTATAGAATGATTGTAAGAGGTGCATTTGTACATGTCAGTCTGGCAAGTTTCATCTGACCTTGACCTCATTTTCATAGTTCATTGGTCTGTTTTTCAAGAACTATCAGCAATAGGTCAACTATATATGGTGTATGGAATGATTGTAAGGTGAACATGTCTGTCTGGCAGGTACCATCTGACCTTGACCTCATTTTCATTGTTCTTTGGTCAATTTTGAGTATTTGTGTTTTTGTCTGTTTTTCAAATACTATAAGCAGTAGGTCAACTGTATTTGGTGTATGGTGTACATGTCTGTTTGCCAGATATGATCTGACCTTGACCTCATTTTCATGCAATGGTCTGTTTTTCAATTACCATAAGCTATAGGTCAACTATATTTGGTGTATGAAATAATTGTAAGGTGTACATGTCTATCTGACAGGATTTATCTGACCATGACCTCATTGTCATCGATCTTTAAAATTGTTCAGTTTATCATTATGTGATACTTGTAGTAAAACCTTTAAGACTTTCAACAAAATCAGTGGTCAGTAAAACATGCGAGACATTTCAGTGTGTGCACTCTTGTATATATGTATATATATGTAAAACTAATTCATTGATAGCAATTTGCCTTTTTGTAGTTTCAGATAACCATATACATGTAAGTGATGGCACATGGTTCACAGTCAAGGGAAAACTGTATACAAGAGATAGCCAAGGTATCATTAAATGATACATTTGATCAAAAGGGTGCTGCACATCATAAAATGTTACAAAAGCTTTGCAAAACTGATGCTTTTTTCAAACATCAGCAAATAGGAGAACTTGATCTTTGTGAAGAAGAAAAGTATAAAATTGCAGATGAAATTCTTAACAAAAGTAGGACCAAATTTCTTGAAAGATATTGGAAATATCTTGGGATAGAAGATGTGGCATGTTTTGCAAACTGCTCAGGCGAATATGAAATTGACTTTTACTTGAAACAAATAAAAAAATCTAAAACTACTGATTTTGATAAAAATAGAACTAAAAATAGACGCTTGAAGGCAATGCAGCAATTGATATCCGAAGGAGACTATTTTAGTGAAGAGGAAATGAAATATCGAGACCCATTCCTTTATGAACAGCTGGTGGGACAATATTTGAATGATGATGAAATCAATGATAAGGTTGACAAAACTGATTTGCGATTTTCAACAGTGCTGTTTAAACATATTGACATATTACATGAGCATGAAGTCTATCAGGACCAAAAGGATACTGAGGTTTGTTAAAACTAAATATAATAATACCTTTCACAAGATGAGACAAAGATATCTTAATCTAACATGTCTAATGAATGTTGACATACTGGTAATTTTACAATATAAAAAAAAGTAGATATGGTATGATTGCCAAGAGACAACTGTCCATCAAAGTTCAAATGAAGTAGATGTAAGCAATTATGGGCAATAGTATGGCCTGCTACAAGGTGAAAAACCCTTACTGTATAGTTGGCAATAAAAGGCCCAAACATGAAAATTAAGAAACAATTCAATTGAGAAAGCTAATGGCCTAATTTATAACAAAACAATTTACAAAAAAACAAATATGACGGACATGAACCAACGACAACCACTGAACTACAGGCTCCTGACTTGGGATAAGCACATAAAGAATAAGGAAGGGTTAAACATGTTTGTGAGTGCTCAACCCTCCCCTATCCTGGGACAGTGGTGCTACAGCATAACATAACAACAAACTATAAAAAGCAGTTGAAAAAGGCTGAACTCATCAGATCGATACAAAGCAGAAAAACACCAAACAAAAACACAGACCGGACGTGGCAGGGTATTTATCCATCCCTCATCCCTAGCAACAAAAAGGACACTAAGTACAGATCTGAGAGTACTTGCAGTTACTGATAGCTAGTTCAAAGCCAATAACAACTAATAAAAAAGAATATGTATCTAAGACTAAAACATCAATCAGTACACATCCAACATCCAATGGATTTAGTGTAAAAACGTCAGAGAAAAACATGACAGATTGTAGTACCTTGAAAGTGCATATGTGTATAACAATAATATCTGGTATGGTTTTAATTTACTGATAATGCCTGTTATTTTGAAAATTTTAATGTACAAACATGTTTGAAATACATTCAGTATTCTACTGTCAACCTATAATTTGTATACTCAGATGAAAATAACTTAAGTGTATTATTAATATTGTTTTATTATTACCAGATCTGAAGAGATCCTCTCCTTTTGTCAGTGAAAATCAGGGGCATCACATGAAGGTTATCAAAATCATAAAGGGATTATTCAGTTATCCAGGATAAAACCATGCATCCTTTTCTAATTATTCAGGATCTGCCCTATCTCAATAGTGATTTGCATTTGTATAAGGGTATTTGGTGTTTTTCCTCCAGTCAAGCACATAACACAAATATACGGTGTTCACAGCAGCTTTTGATTTTAACTTGTTCAATGTTCAACACCATACATTTGTTCATTGTATATTTTAGTCATATCATGTTACTTCAGGTACTTCCTTATTATGAATGCTTATCTTTGCTTGCTATAAATTATTATTTTAAGGAGTCGCCTTCCCATTTGCTCTTCGTTTTTTTTTCTCAGTCAGCAGATGTAATACCAAGCCTTTAGGTTCCTTTAAAATTTTGTATTTAAACAAAATATATTTACATGTATTTCAGGAAGGTCAAATGGAAGAAGGAGAAAGCAGTGAAGATGAAGGTACATTAAGTAATTTTTAAGATTCTGAAGTGGATATTTTTTACAATTAACATGATTAAAATTAAATTCAAATTTACCTGAATACCAGTGTATGAAATAGAAAAGAAAAAAATTTTGTGCAGTTTTTGGGCAAAAACAATTGGTCACTCAAAACCATATGATCCTTCAATTTTAACCAAACAATTTATATAATTGAATAGCTTTTTTTTTTATTATTAAACTCACTAGAATATATACTTTATTTAAACAGAAAATTATTTACTTTATCCAAATCTTTGGGAAATGTACTGCTATTGAATTATTGTCTTCCTATACACTAATTCGGTAACAGCTTTTCTATATTGCAGTGATCTTAACATGACACCTTACTTTAGAAATTCTGCAATCGCACTGCGCAAATGGTTTTTTTTTAAAAGGGGGGGCGTACGCCTATTACGCCCTCACCTGGACCCGCCCCTGCAATCATTGAATGAAATCTTTTTTTGTCCATTATACATTATGGATTTCTAATATTTATAATGCACAGAAGACTTGGTTCAGTAGATATGCATGCGTTGATTCAATATTTTCCTTAACACAACTTATAATTACCAGAAACTCATTTTATGTGATTTTAATTTTTTACTTAGTACTTTTGCTTAGAAATTTACAAGTAGATAAACCATTTATGACACTTTCAATAAATCTATTATACCATGAACATTTACATTTCTTATAATTTAGAAATTCATTTTGAGATTTGTTTTGTTGAAGGAAGTGATATGGAAGAGGAAAGTGAGGACAAAAAAAAAATGATCCCTGATGAACAGAAAGCTCAATTTAGACAAGAATTCCTGACAATAATGAAGGAGAGATTTATGTCTGGTCAGGATGAACATTTTAATTATAGGTAAGATATGTCATTTTAGAAAAAAAAAAATCAAAGTCATGCTGTTTGCATAGGATTGTTGCCTTTAAAATGGTTAATGATGAATGGATTTTAATTTATTACCAGAACCCTAGTAAATTTGTATTTTATTTTCATAATTTCTTCCTACTTATTTTATATTTCTATCCTGATTTATTTTGCAGTCAGATTATTTTTTTATGGTTATCTTCAATCTTAAGAAGAAAAAAAATTGTGGAGTTATAGGAAACATTAGTTTTTCAACCTTCAAAACTCAATAATCAATTTCGATTTTAGCAACCAACTACACACTTAACAGGATAAGCATTACCTGCTGTGCGTGCATAACCAGTTACCTTCATGCAAACCCTCTCAGTTAAAAATTTCTCAGTCACAACCTAATCAGTTTTTCAGATCAGACTTAGTCCAAAGATCAAGGACTAAAAAAAAACATTTCTCATGATTAGAGGTACAGACACATTGTATTGGTCAACAAATTCATTGAAGTGACCTTACAACTTGTATAATGCAGATTGATGTCAGTTTATGTGTAAGGAACACACCCCTGTAAATGAAGTCAATATAACAGCCAAATGCTTGGGCAGGCTACTACTAAGAAATGAATAATATATTTTTCTTTGCTCAGAGCCTCTAAGCAATGAAAAATACTTTTTTTAAACTGTGACAAGGCATTGTTTTTTTAATGTGCAAAATTGAAAGGCAGGGGAATTAAGTAAAATTGTGTAAAGAATAATAACAACCTATATTTTTTGGACTAAAAAATATTGGCCAAATAATTTTTTTTTAAATCTAACAAGGTTCAGTTGTGAAAATTGACATTCGAAAGTTTGTATCTCGAAAATTTGCCACTGTTGTCACCATGGAAATACAATTTTAGTTTGCAATCTATAATTTGTTTTTGTCACAGCAGAACAAAACTTATATGAAAGTTAATACTATTTTGTATTATTTTGTTCAATATACATGTACCATTAAAGAAATCAACAAGTTCTGAAACTGCCATGCCTCACAGATGAAATTTGAGGTTAGGTATTTTGCAAGGAACATATCATTATCAGTTTTACTTTCCTAAAAAGAAGCGAAGTGATTTTGAAATGTTAACTATATTAATAATGAAAAAAAATCTTTTCATGTTGTAGTGAAGTTGATAATAATACAGAATATGATGATCTAGATATTCTGCAAAAAGATGAAGAAGAAAAATATTTTGATGCAGATGGTGGTGATGAGAGAAATTTTGACAATGATGAAGTTAATGATATAGATGTGGAGAATGACAATATGGATTGCAGCATTCATAATGAAAAGTGTGTCAAAGTTTCAGGAAAACTTCAGAATTACAAAGAAACTATCAATCATGTCAATAGTGTTTCTTTAACTTTGAATAGTCATACAAGTAACAAGTCTGACATTGACGTCGGTATCAAAGAAAAAAGATAATAAAAAATGTAAAACTTGTTTTATCCTTTCTTTCTATTCTTTTCATTTCCGTAAAAAATACAATGACCAATAATTGTATATAAATTTAGAAAATATATAAACCCCAGGTCTATTTACAGAATTTGGTGGTGATAGCAGATCTTTGATAGTTTGTTAAATTTATCCACTACTTTTCTAGACTCATGGCAATTTAGAGCTTGATGTATTATAAAGGCATTTGTCTATTGCTGAGATACATGTAAGACCCTAAAGGCCTAAATGACATCTTTCTAAAAATGTTTAATATTTGTTTGTCGTAAAACATTTGTAATATTTACACATAAAACAATCAATATCCAGCCATAAAAATCTGACTAATGAGACACTAAATATTCATGTGTATATATACATAAACTCAACATATATTGCTATCCAGGAATTAAAAAACTTGTGGTCCTTCATTCTGTGCATAGTTGTATTTTGGTATTTCACAAGGTAATTTTTTGGCTAAGACTGCTTATAACTTCTTTTACACTAGACCAAAGTGTACTATTTAGCATTTATATTATATCAACCGGTAGGCATTGGACTAGCTTTCAGGAACTGCGAGTACTCTTCGATGGGTACATGGTGTCTTTATGTCTTATTATTCCCAACTCTTCAGAGCAGGGTTAACTGGTTATCTCTGTTCATTTGTCCTTCACATGAAATTTTTGTCACATTTTTCTCAGGAACTACAAATCAGAGCTTCCTGAAATTTGGTTTCAAGCTTCATGTGAGTATGCTTTATCCTTTGATGCGTTTTCACATTCATTGCTCTTCTAATTCCTGTTTACCTAATTCTTGTATATTCTTTCACATAATGGCCATTCTGTATGTGTCTGTCCCAAGTCAGGACCCTATAATTAAGTGGTTGTGGTTTGTTGCTGTATATCATATTTGTTTTTTACATAAATCAGGCTGTTAGTTTTCTCGTTTGAATTGATTTACATATGTCATTTCGGGCCTTTTAAAGCTTATTATATATATATTTTATAGACTGTTACTCCAACTACCCATTGAATTTATGTCTTATCTTAATTACAATGTTTGAGCAAACATCCAAACAAAGTTTGCAAGCAAGATATTTAAACTTTTGATCAACATGGAATATCATAATAGCTCTAAGTATAAATAAATATTTGTAAAGTATTACCCCTGACTGTCATAATGACCGTGATGAAGTATTCTTCATATTACAAGTCAGAGCTTCCAAAAATTTGGTATCAAGCTTAATGTGAGCATGCTGTATCGTGTGAATCATTTTCAGTTCTGACATTGCTAATAAACTTCCTGTATACAGAATAATTATATTTTCTTACACAGAATGGCCATGTTGGAAATTTTGAGTCTCAATTTTCTCAAGAACTACAAATCCGGACTTTCTGAAATTTGGAATCAACATTTGTGAGCATGCTATATGGTGAGATGCATCCTATGCTTATCAACTTTTTATACGACTGCAAAAAATTTTGCGGTCGTATATTGGTATCACGTTGTCGTTAGCGTCGTCCAAAGACATTTGATTTCCGGACAATAACTTTAGTAAATGTAAATAGAAATCTATGAAATTTAAACACAAGGTTTATAACCACAAAAGAAGGTTGGGATTGATTTTGGAGGTTATAGTCCTAACAGTTTAGGAATTAGTGGCCAAAAAAGGGGCCTAAATAAGCATTTTTATACGACCGCAAAATTTTTTGCGGTCGTATATTGGTATGACATTGGCGTCGTCGTCGTCCGAAGACACATTGGTTTTCGCACTCTAACTTTAGTTTAAGTGAATGGATCTCTATGAAATTTTACCATAAGGTTCAATACCTCAAAAGGAAGGTTGGGATTGATTTTGGGGGTTATGGTACCAACAGTTAAGGAATTAGGGGCCAAAAATAAGCATTTTTGTAACTTCCAGACATAACTTGTGTGTTAGTGTATGGATCTCTCTGACATTGTACCACAAGGTTCCATATCACAAAAGGAATGCTGGGATTGATTTTGGGGGTAATTGCCTCCAAATTTTAGGAATTAGGGGCCAAAAAGGGGCAAAAAACAAGCATTTTTCTAGTTTCATGACAATAACTTGTGTAAGTGTATGGATCTTTTTGAAATTGTACTACAAGGTTCCATATCACAAAGGGAAAGCTGGAATTGAGTTTGGGGGTATTTGCCCAAAACGTTTAGGAATAAGGGGTCAAAAATAAGCATTTTTCTAGTTTCCAGACAATAACTTGTGTTCAAGTGTATGGATCTCTCTGAAATTGTACTGCAAGGTACCATACCACAAAGGGAAGGCTGGGATTGATTTTGGGGGTAATTGCCTCAAAATTTTAGGAATTAGGGGCCATAAAGGGGCAAAAAAACAAGCATTTTTCTAGTTTCAGGACAATAACTTGTGTGTAAGTGTATGGATCTTTAAGAAATTGTACTACAAGGTTCCATATCACAAAGGAAAAGCTGGGTTTGAGTTTGGGGGTAATTGCCCTAAACGTTTAGGAATTTGGGGCCAAAATGGGGCCAAAAAACAAGCATTTTTTCTATTTTCCAGACAATAACTTGTGTTCAAGTGTATGGATCTCTCTGAAATTGTACTGCAAGGTACCATACCACAAAGGGAAGGCTGGGATTGAGTTTGGGGGTGATGAATCATTAGGGGGTTCAAAAAATTGAGGGGGGGGATTTGTTTTCCTTTTTTTTCTTTAAAATTTTCCAATTTAAATTGGTTATTTCTGATTTATATATAAAAGCAAATAATAATGATATGGTTTGAATAGGTAAATTAAAATTTTTTAAGTTCTTAGACCACATTCATTCTGTGTCAGAAACCTATGCTGTGTCAAATATTTAATTACAATCCAAATTCAGTGCTGTATCAAGCTTGAATGTTGTGTCCATACTTGCCCCAACTGTTCAGGGTTCGACCTCTGCGGTCGTATCAAGCTGCGCCCCAGTGGAGCATTTTATTCTAGTTTCCAGACAATAACTTGTGGAACAGTGTATGGATCTCTCTGAAATTATACCACAAGTTTCCATACCACAAAGGGATGGTAAGGATTGGCTTTGGGGGTTATGGCTCAAAAGGTTTAAGAATTAGGGGCAAAAAAGAGGGAAAAACAAGGGTTTCCTGGTTAATGGACAATTAAAAAAAAGTACAATGTTATGTTTGGATTACCTCCCTTACACTGCTTTTAATTTATGTATAAAGAAATGTTGTATTGTCTTGAGGTGATTAGCTGTTAATTTATTTTTAGAAGTTACTATTTAAAAATGCTGATTAAGAAATATTAATTTTAGCCATGATTATGTATGTCATTTTGTATTTTTAGACTTTTATGATGTATCTAAATGGGTAATTATGGTTGCAAACTCCACTGGAAATTTGAATTGAGATTATGACCATATCTTGAGGGAAAGAATTTTTTTTTTGGGGAAAGGGGGGGGGGGGGAGGGTGAAAAAGAAATTGAGGGGGGGGGACAATTTTTTCTCATTTTAGATTTCAGAAATTAAAAAGAAAGGGTACAATTTTATTTTTTTGGGGGGGGGGGGGGTGGGTTGTCAATTCCCAACAGCATAGTGTATTGCACAAAAGCCAAAAAAAAAGGGGGGGGGGTAAAAAAAAAATTGTTTTTGGGGGGTGGGTCGCAACAGCATGGTGTAGTGCAAAAAATTTATATAAATTCAAATCATATAACCAATTCTAAGTTCTTTGACTACAGTTATTCTGTGTCAGAAACCGATTATGTGTCAAATATTTATTAACAATCCAAACTCAGACCTGTATCAAGCTGGAATATTGTGTCCATTTTTGCCCCAACTGTTCAGGGTTGGACCTCTGCGGTCGTATCCAGCTGTGCTTGGCGAAGCAATTTATTGTTATTCAAATAGTTGTAGAGAAGTATCATAAGAAGGCAGTAGTTCACAGTTCAACTTTTTTTTGTGCTTAGTATGCTACTGATAAGTGATGGCCATTCCACATGTTCCAACTCATCTTTGCAGTTTGTTCTAATACAAAACTTCATAATACATCTTATTGGTTTGCTTGATCTCAGTTCTTTAAAATGAAATTAATAGAGACTACCAAAGACCTTCAATCAGCACCAAATTTCTCAACATATAACTTGTTGTCTGCTGAAACTGCAAATAGTATATGCATATTAGGATAACATTTTTTAAACAATGTTTTATTTTCTGACACATGAAAATACCCAGCTTTGTATATGTACTATCCCTGATCTAGATATCTTATGTGTCTTACTGGTGGTCCGGCAGTAAGACTAATACTGACAAGGCTGAAGAAATATGGCAATCTAGATATCGATGGTCCGGCAGTAAAACTAGTACTGACAAGGCTGAAGGGGCTTCCATTTTGGCTGTGTGAGATTTATAAATATGCAACCAGGCTAGTTGGAATGTGAAAGTTTAATCTATTGCCTTTTACTTTGAGAATCATGCCAAGCTCTACATATGCACAAGAAAGAACCCCTGAAAAACCCTTTAGGAATCCATAGGTAACCTATAGGAAGCCCAAAGTTTTTGGCCTTTGGAAACATATTACCCTATTTCTCAAGTGGCAATCTAAATTTCCTGCCTTCTTTTCTGTTACTAGACCATTTTTACACAACCTTTAATAATTGAAATTGTTGTTTTTCAATATGTTTACTGAGTAGTTAGAATACATCTTTAACATAGTTACATCATCTGCTGACTGTGACATTGTATGTAATATTTTAAAGCTGAAAATATGCAAACTATATACAAAATGTAACAATATGTAATCATTGGAATATCACGATGCTGTACATACTAATTCATTAAACTGCTTAACAAAGTCTGGGCTAACTTCTTGAAGTTTGATTATCAAATTATTTCTATCAATTTCTGTCCAAGATTCAAACCACTGTGTAAACAGTTTAAGCTGGCACTGAAAAATACTTGGTGGGCGATCATTCACTTTAAGCTGATGCATTGAATCAAATAAAGTATCTATAGACACTGGGTTTGCCTTGTCAACTAAGTCTTTTAAGAAGTCTCCTTTCTGCATTCCACTCCATCCTTTGAACCAGTGAATAACACATTCTATCTCCTTTTCTGTATTTGAAATTGACATCTTTCTGATTTGATTGATCTTATTTTATTACTTTGTCGTAGATGTACATCATGAACACACTTCTTTTATCCTGAAAATAGTAACAATGTAAAATTATTTTAAAATAGAGAATTGTAAGCATGTACAGTAAGAAACCATTAATATAAATACAATGTAATAATTCAAGAAATTAATGTTCTCTTTTTATTAATGCAAAAGTTGAACAAGGTAAAAATTACAATATAACATTGAAATCACATTTTAATGTTTGCTAACTATCATATATTCTACTCTAAGATCAGATACACCATGATAAATGTATTGGTTTTTTTTAAATTAGATATTTTTTTTGGTTTATAGCTCTTTTAAAATCAAATAAACTAAATAAAAATAAAAGATTTGTGTAAACTATAAACAATTGCTATATATATATAATCAATGACAACTACATGTAAGCCACTGCATGCATTTAAAATGTCTTTATACAACCATGACTTTTATTAACTCCCTATACCAATGAAAATTATATTTTGACATTTTAAACTTTGAATCTGTATACATGTATAAAGCACTTAATTAATTAATAATGATTGTTTTAAAAGTTTTGTTTCACATTCTACCTTAATATCTATGTACAATGTAACTACATGGAACTCCCTAATTTTTTTCAACTATTTTTTTTCAGTCTGACATTGCCTAAAACCATTTCATACTCACGTGTTGTGCTATATTTATAACTTTTATTTTCATTCATACGTAAATTTATTTATAAATAAATAAAATGCACTGCAGTGTGCAGCTTGATACAACGGCAGAGGTCTTACCCTGAACAGTTAGGGCAAGTATGGATACTACATTAAGCTTGGTACACCTCTGAATTAAGATTGTGATTAAATATTTGACATACACAGCACAGGTTTCTGACACAGAATGAATGTGGTCTAATTAAGAACTTCAAAATTTAAAATTGGACATTTACGGTGATTTACCTATTATGGTCCAATACCCAAAATCTAAATACATGGTTAGATTCAGTATATCAAAGAACCCCACAAATTCAATTTTGATGAAATCAAACCCCAAATAAGTTTAATTTTGGACCCTTTGGACCTCAATGTGGACCAATTTGATAATGGGCCCAAAATCCAAAATCTAAATACACAATTAGACCAAAATCTAAATACACAATTAGATTCAGCATATCAAACATAGGCGGATCCAGGGGGCCCTGGCCCCCTTTCGTGGGAAAAATTTGGTTGATTATATAGGGAATCACTGAAGCATGACTAGAGCGGGGCCCCCCCTTAGGTCAGTCAGCGGGCCCCTCCTTATGAAAAGTTCTGGATCCGCCACTGTCAAAGAACCCCAAGAATAAAATTTTTGTTAAAATCAAACTATGTTTCATTTTGGACCCTTTAGACCTTAATGTGGACCAATTCTAAAAACAGTGCCCAAAAATAAAAATCTAAATACACGGTTAGATTCAGCATGTCAAATTAAAAAAGAACCTCAAGAATTCAATTTTTATTACTTTGGACCTTAATGTGGACCAATTGGAAAACAGGGCCAAAAATTAAAAATCTAAATAGAGTTAGATTCGCATATCAGAGAACCCCAATCATTCATTTTTTGATGAAATCAAACAATGTTTCATTTCGGACCCTTTGGACCTCATACACCTTATCTCTATTTGTCCGCCATTACTGGACATCACACAGGTCCCGTAAAATTTAGAAAATATCTGACGCCCCAATGGAAACGTGATTGTTGTATGCCGTCAATAGTTCAAGAGGCACAGATTTCCAAATAGCTATATTAAAGGTCTATTGTCATGATTGTGGCCCTACTTCCAAAATGGTTTGGGCCATAACCCCCAAAATTAATCCCAACCTTCTTTTCAAGGTATGGCTAGTATCTTTTTGCATTATTCAAATTTAAGCCTAAATCGATATAGTTGAAATATTTCTATTTAAATGTGACATGTCATAAAATTAAATGAACACAGTGTCTTTAATTTATACCATATATATATAGCCATGAAACTGAGTAAACTGTTTTACAATAAACTTACAACAATGTAGATCATGCTAATTTTTCGTTAAATGTTTTTTTCCTCAAATACTAATGGTTTAGGGTCATAACTGTCCCAGAGACTTATAATACATGTCTCTGCTGTCACTGTAGATAGATTTCTGTGGGCTAGCCCCGTTAGTTGGACTGTTATAGTGTTCCCTTCATTTATGTTTACCTTAGTTCTTATTTTTGTAATTTATCAGATTAATTTTACTGTGGCATAAGGCAGAGACATACTATTAAATGAAATACACTTCCCACCCGGTCTCTGGAAAGGCAAATACACAGGTCGGTTACTTATCGACTGGTACTGTTTTGTCCCTTAAATCGTGATGCACAACATACAAAATTTTATATTTTTTTTACTTATATATTTGAAAATAAGGAAATTATAAAACAATGTTTAGATTGTTATTAAAAAAAAACCCATTATGTTACGTTTTACAGATACATGAAAGGTCTGCTATTCATAATACCTTAGAAAAATGCATTTCCATGGGGTATATGCTGATATTTCATCATACAATATCAATTTCCGGTCTAAATAATGTTTGAGTTCAGAGTTGTATGTTGATTTTTTAAATTGTAAGTTGGTAGGGTTCTTGGCATCATAACGAGGACGTTTTGCATTCATAATTTTCATTTAATAGGCGCTAGACATAAGTTATAGTTAGGTTTTTTTTTTAAACGGGGCGATCTTCCAGTCATGGTTTGATCAAGGATTTGTAAATTATATATATATAGACCGGTCTCACTAATTAGCGACAAGAAGCGAAAAGAAGAAAAATATTAGCGACAAGAAAGTTCATTTACTAGTCAAACAATAGATTTACAGAAAAAAAATCATCTGATTATACTAAGGGTCCATAAAAAATAGAAAATGGAAATTAAAATAAAAAAAAATAAAGAAATTACCCCCCCCCCCCCTTTTTTTTAATCCAAACACTCATGTATACCTTTTGATTTTTAACTATGATTAATAATGTAAATATTTGAACTTTTAATCCTGTTTATACAGAAAAATTTGTGTCATGTACTGTATATGTACTTTTTTTCGTGGTGTACTTATTTTCACGAATTTCGCGGTAGGTATATTTCCGCGAAAAATAAATACACGCGAATACAAATGCAGCTTAAATAAATGTTAAACCTTCAAAACCTATAATCTTCTCGGAAATTTACAATGTTCACCTGGTTTCCCTTAACATGACCTCATTTGAACTGTGAAACTGTTAAAACAACACCAGTGATCCATACAGAAAATCAATTAAGGATAAAAGGTAACAAATAATGACCCAAGCCGATCTGACAGTTTTATTGTGTAACTACAATTTAATCGAGAATAATCTCTTTCCTACTGTTTTGTTGATTGAATAGTAGTAATCTTTGTTTAATTTGTAAATAATTACACTGACCTTTTTTCATAAATTTATATTTTGTTTAACAAATTAAGACTTAATTAATGAAAATTTAAATATTTAATAAACATATTTACAAATACAAAACTTTTTTGAACACAAGTATGTATTAACTGATAATAAGGTTTCAAATGTTATAGTTTATTTATGCCCACATACATCGGAAATCCCAGCTTTAACCCATCCTCTTTTCAAAGTTTCTTTTTTTATGTTTTGGAATGCATGAACCAGCCATCCGGCATGCAGAGGTTTCAAAGTAGAACTCTTGTTCACTTTATTGACTTAATAAAGAAAATCCGTTATTAATGTTTTGATATTTACGGCACATCCGCGAAATTAAATGCACGCAAATTCATCGGCAATACCGATTGCGCGAAAATAAGTACACACGAAAAAAAGTACATATACAGTATTTATATGTATTTTATATATACAAGTCTAAATTGAAAACAACGTTCAAACCTATGATTGCATTTGATATATATATATTGACCTTTTGAGTCTGAAATAAATCAAGATTATATTATCTTATAATTTGGTTTGAATCTTTCACATATCAACCATGCCGACTCTACATAAAAATTTATTCATTCATCTTTACACTATGCTGTAAACTAAATATATTATCTTAAAAATATCCTTGTTAATCATGATAATGAAGTTTATTCTCTTGTTTCCTCGTATATTAAAAAAAGACAATTTGATGTATGTTTCAATATTTATTTATTTATATGTAAAATAATTAATATTAAGATTTGTTTACACTAAATTTGTTTTCTTTTCACTAAATTATACTTCTTGTCGCTTAATTATTCTTCTTGTCGCTAATTTTTTTATTCTTGTCGCTTCTTGTCGCTTCATGACGCTTCTTGTCGCTAATTAGTGAGACCCTTAAAGACAAATATGATACACTATACAAATCCTTGGTTTGATGGATAAGGTTGTCGTTTTTCAAATAATTTCACAAAACCTTTGGTCCGAGTTCAAATCTTGCAACCGACCAAAATAGTGTCTCCATAAAATATTTTTCTGACCACACAGTATATGTTAGGTATTTTTTATCATTTAAAAGTTTGTACATTGTAGTTATCAATTTAGAAACAATATATAAATGGATACCTAGTCCAGATAATCATGCCATCTGCTGAGGGTATTTTTCGATTTTGATTTTTTTTTTATCCCTAAAAGAAAAAAATTAAAATAGCCTTCCAAGACGTCATAATTATTTGGACTAATATATACCATCAGAGACATATAATACATTATGTATGTATTATATGTCTCTGATACCATGATACAGATTATAAATGATGTGAAGTTGACGATGGGGCATATTTTTTGGGTGTATTTTTTTTTTAAAATAAATTTCGGGTAAAGCAATTTCCCAAGAACTCCCAAAAACTCAATATGATCCAGAGAGCCGATAGATATTACCCAAAAAACTAGATTTTATATGGTGAAATACTACTTTTATTGATAATGAAGACTATAAATTTGAGATACCTCTCATTTTGTTTTAATAAAAAGTACAATTTAACATCAGGAATTTGATTTGTGTGTCTTGTATGCAAGTTTTTTTGTATAACAATATGGCAGATTTAATTATAGATAACTATTATCTATATGTTATAAATTTTAAACTTTAAAGATTTTAATCAGGAAAATTTTAAACTGTAAAGATACTCTGCACAAGGCACGGGCATACCTGACGCAGTCCACGATAAAGTTTGAATAATTACGTCTGCCATATTGTTATATCAAGGAACTTGCATTAAAGGCACAAATTGAATTCATGAAGTTAAAAAGTACTTTTATTGAGTAAAAATTACATATATCTCAAAATTATAGACTTTATTTCAGAATTTAATGCTTCTTTTTATAATTTTATTTGGGTGTTAATGCGTTGACTGAAGCACATTTTGTATGAGCGTGGAAGCCCTTCATCATGTTTATATTAAAAATGTGCATACAGTTGACACTTTTACAATCCTATAAAATTATTGTTGTAACCCAATCAAAATTACAGATTCTAATGAAACATACATGCAATGTAATATTATCTATAAAAGCAGTATTACTCCATATACAGTAAAGTTTTTGGGTAATATCAATCGGTTCTCAGGTTCATATTGAATTTTTGGGAGTTCTCAGGAAATCATTGTACCAGAGGTCAAAAGGACAGATATATAGGTATTCCCGTAACATTGTGGACAACCGTAGTACTGTTGTTGTTAATACTACTTAATCATTTACCTATCGATTTTACGCTCACGCAGTCTGACAGAGGCCCTCCATTTGGGATTTAGATAAACACTTGTTACACATTTCGATACATAAAATGAAATTGTTGATCAAAACATAAAAAAACGCAAGTAAAGAACGTTTAAGTATTCAATATTAATCAAAACACAAAGGTTATTCCTGTACTAGTTTTTCGAATTATTTGAGTCAGGTGTTGAGAACCTTTGGTGACCCCACAGTTTAAATGTCTATAATAAATACAACGTGATAAGTGGGCGTTACAGACAAACGTTCACCTAATTTAACCCAGTCAATGGGAGACTTGTGCGCACCAAAAAATGGTCTCGTCCACACTGTTATGAAAATGATACTATGTTGTCAGCAAATGCAGTTTGAAAAAAGTTTCCTGTAATTCTCTGCACAAAGTTGATGATAAATGCGTACAGTACAAGGTTCTTTGTATAAACATTGCAGTCAAAGGGTTATACTTAATTTAACTAATACAAAGTAATGTGTATCCATACAATCTTACAATAACAATAGTTACAAATGTATATGGGCTGCCTTAAAACAGAGAAGATACAAAATTTGAATCATTGTACAGCTGCTTGCTTCGGTAAAATTTGATGTATCATATTTTCATTAAATCATACAAATAAGGACATGTACCAACTAAAAAAATGCTTACCTTTTAGTTTCTGTTGGTGGTTTGCATGAACCATGCCTACACGTGTATGTCTAATAACACAAATCACTGGTATATATTTATTTCCAACTTTTAAGTGCTTTTTATACGACAGCAACAAAAATTTTGTGGTCGTATATTGGTATGACGTTGGCGTCATCGTTGTCGTCGTCGTCCGAAGACACATTGGTTTTCGCACTCTTACTTTAGTTTAAGTGAATGGATCTTTATGAAATTTTACCACAAGGTTCAATACCACAAAAGGAAGGTTGGGATTGATTTTGGGGGTTATGGTACCAACAGTAAAGGAATTGGGGGCCAAAAAGGGGCCAAAAATAAGCATTTTTGTAACTTCCAGACATAACTTGTTTGTTAGTGTATGGATCTCTCTGACATTGTACCACAAGGTTCCATATCACTAAAGGAATGCTGGGATTGATTTTGGGGGTAATTGCCTCAAAATTTTAGGAATTAGGGGCCAAAAAAGGGGCAAAAAACAAGCATTTTTCTAGTTTCATGACAATAACTTGTGTGTAATTGTATGGATCTTTCTGAAATTGTACTATAAGGTTCCATATCACAAAGGGAAAGCTGGGTTTGAGTTTGGGGGTAATTGCCCTAAACGTTTAGGAATTTGGGGCCAAAAAGGGGCCAAAAAACACATTTTTCTAGTTTCCAGACAATAACTTGTGTTCAAGTGTATGGATCTCTCTGAAATTGTACTTCAAGGTACCATACCACAAAGGGAAGGCTGGGATTGAGTTTGGGGGTGATGAATCATAATGGGGGTTCAAAAAATTTGGGGGGGGGGTTATTTTTTTTTCCTTTTTTTTCTTTTTTTCCTTTATTGTTTCTTTTAAAATTTTCCATTTTAAGTTGGTTATTTCTGATTTATATTTAAAATCAAATAATAATGATATGGTAGGAGATACACACCAAACAGGATGTGTAAATTATTATATAATAAGTATTGTGCAATAGCAAGAAATTTTCAATTGCACAGTATTGCACAATAGCAAGAAATCTTCAATTGCACAGTATTGCGCAATAGCAAGAAATCTTCAATTGCACAGTATTGCGCAATAGCAAGAAATATCCAATAGCACAATATTGCGCAATATCAAGAAATTGTCAATTGTACAGTATTGCACAATAGCAAGAAATATTTAATAGCACAGGATTGTGCAAAAGAAGATACTTCCTATAAATTGCTTATTTCTTGACCAATTTCAATGGGGTTTTATTCTTGATTTCATGGGGTTCTTTAATATGCTGAATCTAACCGTGTATTTAGTTTTTGGATTTTGGGCCCCGTTTTTAAATTGGTCCACATTGAGGTCCAAAGGGTCCAAAATTAAACTTTGTTTGATTTCATCAAAAATTGAATTATTGGGGTTCTTTGATATGCCAAATCTAACCATGTATTTAGATTCTTAAATTTTGGTTCCGTTTTCAAATTGGTCTACATTAAGGTCCAAAGGGTCCAAAATTAAACTTAGTTTGATTTTAACAAAAATTGAATTCTTAGGGTTCTTTGATATGCTGAATCTAAACATGTATTTAGATTTTTGATTATGGGCCCAGTTTTCAAGTTGGTCCAAATCAGGGTCCAAAATTAAACTTTGTTTGATTTCAACAAAAATTGAATATATGGGGTTTTTTGATATGCTGAATCTAACCATGTATTTAGGTTTTTGATTTTAGGGCCCCGTTATCAACTTTGTCCACATTGAGGTCAAAAGGGTCCAAAATTAAACTTTGTTTGATTTCATCAAAAATTGAATTATTGGGGTTCTTTGATATGCCGAATCTAACCGTGTATTTAGATTCTTAATTTTTGGTTCCGTTTTCAAATTGGTCTACATTAAGGTCCAAAGGGTCCAAAATTAAACTTAGTTTGATTTTAACAAAAATTGAATTCTTAGGGTTCTTTGATATGCTGAATCTAAACATGTATTTAGATTTTTGATTATGGGCCCAGTTTTCAAGTTGGTCCAAATCGGGGTCCAAAATTAAACTTTGTTTGATTTCAACAAAAATTGAATATATGGGGTTTTTTGATATGCTGAATCTAACCATGTATTTAGATTTTTGATTTTTGGGCCCCGTTATCAACTTTGTCCACATTGAGGTCAAAAGGGTCCAAAATTAAACTTTGTTTGATTTCATCAAAAATTGAATTCTTGGGGTTCTTTGATATGCTGAATCTAACCATGTATTTAGATTTTGGATATTGGACCATAATAGGTGAATGTCCAATTTAAAATTTTTAAGTTCTTAGACCACATTCATTCTGTGTTAGAAACCTATGCTGTGTCAAATATTTAATCACAATCCAAATGCAAAGCTGTATCAAGCTTGAATGTTGTGTCCATACTTCCCCCAACTGTTCAGGGTTCGACCTCTGCGGTCGTATCAAGCTGCGCCCTGCGGAGCATTTTATTATCAAATGCAACCTACCAACTTAATCAAATAAAAGGTTTTAGGGGTGAGGAAGGCTTTCAAAAATCAAACTTTTATTGCTAAAATATACAGCTTGCAGACGCTACTCTCTTCGTAAATAATTATATTTCTCTTATTTATTGAGGGGTCGAGTAGACATTCTCCAAGCACAATTATAGTACAATAACTAAGAATTAATAAAAATGGTGGCAATGTTTACTTGCTTCTAGAGCTTCATCAATTTAGTTGTTATATTTTTTTTAAGTGGGTTCATCTAAACCATGTAAACCAGGCAAACGTTTGAAGTTGCATGTCATCTAACAATGGAGTATCTATGAAGACCGCTTACCAATGCTATGCCAAAATAATATTATAAAATAGGATGATCTGATTACTGACACTGAGACTTAAGCTATTGTTTACCAAGTTGGTTGCTTTGATTTTTTCACTATAACAATTCATGATTGATGTTGGTTTTAAACCTCACATTCAGAACACTTGGCTAAAATCATGGTGCCCAGTTTTTATTGACGAAGGAAGCCAAAATACCCACAGAAAACTATCTACCTCCCCAGGAAAACTTTCAAGTAAATCCTAGTCAATTCCTGATATAATTGTTTCCCTATAGTTGAACATGCTGAGATGCAATTTATAGAATAATAGAAATTTTAATTCAAACAGTATATGGAGATTTTTATATAAAGTTTAATAAGTTTTTGTGGTGATATGTTTATTATTTTTGGAACAAAAGATTAAGTTGAAAGCAATGATGACACAGAGTAAGCTGGGTTGGTGTGGTGTGCTTTTATTGTAAATATTGAAGTATCTTCTCTCCCCTCAGAGCTTATTTAAAAATTTAGATAATCTGATTAATATTAATTTCCTGACACCATTGAATTATTATAGTGTTTCTCTAACGTGTCTAAAATGTTTAGCTTTTGATGAAGACCTTTCGTAGTAATAAAAATTAAAACTACTGTGGATTCACTAGTATTCGATTGATACCAATTTTAGTGGGTGTAGGTAAACCACAAAATCAAATATCCACGAAAATACAATTGTTCCTGAATCCATGAAAATTGGTATCCACTAATATAAATGAATCCACAGTAAGTCATCTGCATTAAACAAATTTTTACCCAAATAAATATGTAACACTCAGAAACATGTCCATCCCCCCAAACGTGTCCGATTCCCCCAAACGTGTCCATATAACGTCACTGAACCGCAAAACATGTCTAGGTGCTAAAGGGCGCCAAAACGTGTCCTTTTTAAGAACGCCCTATTGTGTCCATTTTTTTAAGAACGCCCAAACGTGTCCATATAAAACCTAAACGTCTTCTTTATATGAACGCTCAATCTTGTTCATATTTTTAAATGCCCATTTAGTTATTATAAGTTAATTGTTTGCCTTCAAATAGCAATAACATGTCCACCAATATTAAATAAATATAATGTTCTTCAATAACAAATTTGGTTATTGCTCTTTCAATGACGTATACTCCTTTTACTCTTTCATCTATTGTCCTATCCCCAAGTAAGACTAGAAAATAGAAATATGGTCACTTAGGTCTTCTTCCGACCGACAGTAAAACCCTTGCCAAAGTGGGGCGTCCGTTCGGCTGTGCGGGATGTAAAGTACGCAGCCACGTCCGGTCAGAATGGGGATGTTAAATCCGAAGCCTTGTGTAGGGAGAGATAGATCTACATATTGTATTTATTGTAAATATGTTCTCATCTTGAATATGCATGAAATATTTGCCACTGGACGTTAAGCAACAAACAACCAATCAATTTATTGACTTAAATATGCATGAAATAATTGCCACAAAACGTTAAGCAATCAGTTGATCCATTATTTGTGTCAGTTGATTATAACCTCTTTCACAATTGATTTAACGTAATGTGACAGTTAAAAAGATGATGCACATTTTCTATCAGCTCTTCAAAGTATGTACTGGTATTAAGTTTTAAGTTTTAAAATATTTTTGGTTCGAGTATCACTAAAGAGACATGAACAAGAGGAATAAATTTGCATGTATCATTAGCATCCCTGATACCAACCTTATAATTCATAATCGTTAAGTAACTGAAGACATAATAGCGCTAAAAGTTTTGAGACGTTGAGGCGATTTAAAGTGGACACGTTTTGGCAAATAACAAATATCGGACACGTTTGGGGGGTTAGAAATCGGACACATTTGGGCGATTTGGGATTTTGAGGACACGTTTGGGCGGAATAGACACGTTTGGGGGAATCGGACACGTTTGGGGGGATGGACACGTTTGGGAGTGTTACAAATATACTGTCATTCTGGCCATCTGGTATACATTAAAAAAGATCTTAAAATTGTTAGGGCTAAATGCATCTCCTTGCCTAACATCTACAAATGTACTTATGGTGTTAAAGGGTCTGTCAGTCTGCTATCTACTTTAACCGATATCTTGTACATGTATTTTATATAAAATTTTCAGGAATTTTAAATACATCAGTGGTTGATAGTGATGTCTAGTACAGGGGTCTGTAGCCATTGTGGTTGTACAGATATAGACAGTGACCCAGCCAGAGGTGATGCAGTGTGTACTAACTGTGGTTCTGTCTTAGAAGATCAGATCATTGTCTCAGAGATCCAGTTTGAAGACAATGCTGGTGGAGGATCCTCTGTTATAGGACAATTTGTGTCATCTGATGGTAAAATATAAAAATAAAAACATTTATTTTGTCTGTTTGAACATTAGTTAAATGTAGGACAGAATTTATATTTTTTACCTTATTGAACATCAATCATGTACAAAGGAGTCGGTTCACTAACTCATATTTTTGGCCCTAAATATCTAAAAATATTTGACTGCAATAATGTGGTTAGAATTTGATGAAAACACATGTTCAAATATTCAATTTTTTCAGTTAAAACAGATTTTCACCAATGGCGTAGATACCTAAGGCTCGGCTAGGCACGTGCCTATACATAAATTTGCCAATTAGAGGTTCCCAATCTAACACTTTAACATTCTACACAGAAAACAGGCACTAGGTTTTCAATATGATGGGCATTTTTTTCTAAACAATGTAAATATTAATCATATTTAATTAAACTGGTCACAGAATCTGACCTGCACACAAAATATGACTATACGTCGATTAAAATGAAAACATTTTTGTTTCTCAATTAATGTGCTGCTAAACTCTGCTTGTTATTTTCTTTAGAAATCCGTTTAGTTGCACATCTTTCTCAAACAACCGTTATCATGATAACAAAATAAAATTTGAAGAATGTCTAGTGCCTTTTACGTCTTCAATCATTTGTCCATTGCTACTGTCCAATAGACAAAAATGCATGAATGTGTGTAGTTTATTTAAAGTATATATACAAAACTTGTTTAACCCCGCCACATTCTACACATATACCTTCGCCCACAAATATTTTTGCTGATATTCTTTACATACCTTATTCTTTACTTTTCAACTAAAATTTCAATGGGCAGGGGGTGGTGCAACATACATGACATATTAAATAATGAAAAACGTTAAAATAAAGTTGACAAATTACTAGAAAAATGGACGAAAATGAAATATATTCCTATTTCAGGCTTAATATATTTATGAATTTGAAGCAGATAAACACTTTTTCTTATTATACTTTCAAATATAAAACATTCAGCATTACATACATTTTAGATATACTTTAATAACTGAAGTTGAAAAATACACCTTTACAGGGCTGTTTTAAGGGGTTGGTTCCTGACTCTACTCCTTTGTAATATGTAACATTTTTTGTTTAAAAAATCTGTGCATTTTTTTCACAACTTTCTGTATAGCTAGTGCTGCATTCAAATTAAATGATTCCTGTAACTGTATCAAATGTGATTGAGAACATTACATACAATTCATATTTTATTCATGATTGCCATTTTTCCAGTCTTGGGAACTATGTCCTTTTTTCAGCAAAATTTTAACTCTTTGTTTTGTAGGATCAAAACCACACAGTTTGGGAATTAATTTTCCTCATGGCATCAAAAGAGAATCTAGGACTGTCACATATGAAAATGGTAAATAAGAAGTCAATCTACTAGTGTTCTGTATAGTTACTTATCTTATTCAATTAAACTATAGACCAATTTTCCCTGGCAGTTGCCAAACTTGCAACTTATTTGGTGAAAGCAATTTTTGGATTTCCATTCAGAACAAATTTTTCTTGGGTGTTTGTGGAAAACAAAGTACATTGAAGTATGGAGTCATAATCAGCTGATTTTTTTATCAAAACTTTCACAGTTATTGGTGTTAAAAAATCATTGATTTATGTATTTTTAAAATACTTGTTCTGTGGTTTTTTCTTTTAATTTTAACCATTATATAAATTTCAAAAACAGGCCTCTACAATAACTTTTTTTTCAACTTGTCCAGTAGGACAAGTACATACCAAAACTTACTTGTCCGAATGAAATTGTAACTTGTCCAAAAAAAATCTTAATAATAACCTTTTTTGCATTTTAAGTTGATTCACGGAACAAAATGAATTAAGATAATAGAACAGAATTTGATTTATATCTTTTGAAATACTTTTCAAAAATATGAGTTGAGAACAACTGAATCTAGTCATGTCACAGGACTTAGGTTCTAGCTTTCTTCAATGCCAAAGTCTCATCAGACTCTGCACATGAGACACCGTCTGATAGGCTTGTCAATGTACACTCATTGGATTTGTATCTTGGTTTTTAAGTTGAAAAAAGTTTTTCAAATGCAATCAATAAAAAAAAGAAGATGAGGTATGATTGCCAATGAGACAACTCTCTGCAAGAGACCAAATGACACAGAAATTAACAACTATATGTCACCGTATTGCAAGTATTGTTTTTTTCTACATATGATCAAATATGATTTTGTGAATTTTATGGTACATAATTTCTTCATTTTTATTTAAAAAATATTATTTGATAAAAAAATTACCAGTATGATATTTATTATAAAGCAACAGAATAAGGTTGGAAAACGAGGTACTGATTTGTCTTGGTCCCGAAATGTCTTCTGCATTGCCAAACTGTCTATTAATCATGTCTATTAAATATGTCTCCTACGGTGCCAAACTGTCTATTAAATTTGGAGCCGAATCATTTCCGAGCTGGTGACGAACTGTCTTGAAAAGTTACCTTATCTACAAAGCACATCGCTGATTCGGATCAGTAAGACTGGTTTCCGAGAAAAGTATGCCTTTAACCTCTTAAAAAGTACCTGACAAAAAAATCAGTTTTAAAGTATCGATTGCAAGTAAACATGTCAAATTAATACTTGTTTTTATCTTCTTTTCTTGTTTTTTGTTTATAATTACTTTGTTCATCAAAGTTGGATTAAATTTATTTTCTGCAGAATAATTTTACTCGTCCCGTCGGACAAGCTTGATATAGCTTTTACTTGTCCGACCTTTTTTTCCTCTGGTACCGGACAATCGGACAAGCGTTATTGTCGAGGCCTGAAAAATTTTGCATACATATAGAGATTTTGTTTATTCATATGAATTTTATAGATAAAACTTGATTTTGTAGATTCACATTAATTTGAACTCTCAATACTTTCTTAAGGTCATAAACAAAGTTGTCAATTACTATTTCAAGGTATATTTCATAACATTTTAAGCTCAAATCAGACATCACTCTGAAATAGACCTCCTTAGCATAGCTGTGTACAATCTGTTTGACAGGATGGAAATCTACAAATTTTAGAATTGGAATTTTCAAAATTATTAATTGCAAGGGGCTGCATATTAAAATCAATTTTATTATTCATTAATGTTGTAAATAATACTCATTGGATGATGTGTTTGAAAAATGTAGGAAGAAGATCTATTCAGCAGGTTGGTTCTCAGCTAAGACTGAATCAGCATTGTATTGACACAGCATTTAACTTCTTTAAAATGGCTGTAAATAAAAGATTGACCAGGGGAAGAAAGACAACACATGTGATAGCTGCCTGTTTATACCTTGTGTGTAGAACTGAAGGAACACCTCATATCCTTGACACTGTTGAAGCAGATTTACTCAAAGGACGCAATGTTTGAGTTGAGGCAAATCGGCAATATAATACAGTTAATATGTCAGATGCTAAAATGATATGGTCATCAGTTTTAAAATGAAGACATTGAACCAGCACTGATTATATATCTCTTTGTTTATGCAGTCATTGTTGAATTATTATACATGTAACATTGTTTATTCAAATATAAACACTTACTACATGCAATGGATTCAAATAAGTCTAGAATAAACAAAAGGATGTATAAAATGTATGAAACCAATTGACATGATTGACTTGTCATTAACTTGTTATATGCGCAATGGAAAGAGAAAGAACGGCAGAATTTTTTTTAAGTGTTAGAACTTAAGTGAGTGCCTTAAAAGGTAGCTGAATGGGCATCTGCTTTTGGGGCTTATGAGGACACTGCTGGTAGTGTATTTCATACAAATACTGTGGAATAGTTATTAATCTAGGGCAATTAATTTTGCATCGATTTGATATTTACACTAGCTGTAGAGTTTGTTAAAACCACTAAATCAAGTATCCAGAAAAAATCAATTTTCCCTCAATAAATCGACAAAAATTGGAACCTACAAGAATAAACCAATTCACAGTATAGAATGGAATTCTAAAAAGTATTATTTGTGACATTGCAAACTCTACCTTTAAGTCAGTCATCTGATGTTTTTGTAATTAACCAAATGCATGGAATAGAAACTTTTTTATATTATTATCCTTAATTATATCACATATGTTGCTTGATTTCAGTGATATTCTTCAGGTATGTATATACTTACTAGCTAGCTTTCAAAATGCATATAAATATTATATTATATATGTATATTGTCCACTCTCATTATATCTCGGCTTCCCAGTCACTCTAAGTAAATGGTCAACTGCATTTGTTCTATAATTCATAATATGAACACTTATTAACTTAGATTAAAGAGAAAACACATAGTATTATTAACATTTTATTTTAACTCATCACACGTAAATAATATGTACCTACTTGAGTCAAGTCAAAAGTTTGATTATTAATTTTAATGTATTTAAAAAAAAAATTTACAGATTTGTTTTCTAATATTTTCAGGTGAATGTTTACAGTTTAGGAAGAACATACCTACAGTTATCTAAAGAATTGTGCATCAGCATACCAGCAATAGGTAACAATTTATTGTCAGTTTATACATATTTCAAAAATATTTGCATCTCATTTTGAAACAAGTTGTGCGGATAACTCCTGATTCAGGATAATTCAAGACCCTTAATACAACTGTTCAAGATCTATGTTTGTCATGTGAGCACCAATGAATTATAAATCTCTGAAAACGAACTTTTGGTAATTTGGTTTTCATGGTCTAACTTTTGTCTAATATCTGTTAGTATTCATACTTTGATGAGTTGAGCCTTTTTTCAATTAATGTTTTATAGTGTGTCTTTTTATGTTGTATTTTTACACCACTGTCTCAGGTTAGGGTGAAGATTGGCGCCAGATAAAACGTTCAAACCCGCTGCATTTGTTTGCACCTGTCCTAAGTCAGGAACCTGATGTTCAGTGGTTGTCGTTCGTTGATGTGGTTCATAAATTTTGCGGTCGTATATTGGTATCACGTCGTCGTCGTCCAAAGACATTTGGTTTCTGGACAATAACTTTAGTATAAGTAAATATAAATCTATGAAATAGATGAACACAAGGTTTATGACCACAAAAGGAAGGTTGGGATTGATTTTGGGGGTTATGGTCCCAACAGTTTAGGAATTAGGGGCCAAAAAGGGGCCCAAATAAGCATTTTTCTAGTTTCCAGACAATAACTTGTGGAACAGTGTATGGAATTGTCTGAAATTATACCACAAGTTTCCATACCACAAAGGGATGGTAAGAATTGGCTTTGGGGAGGGGGGGGGGGGTTATGGCTCTTATGGTTATTCTTTGTTTGGGTTTTTTTTTTTGCATTAGATTTACCTCCCTTACAAACTTTGTTTGATTTCAACTAAAATTAAATTTTTTGGTTTTTATACGACCGCAAAAAAAATTTTGTGGTCGTATATTGGTATGACGTTGGCGTCGTCGTCGTCGTCGTCCGAAGACACATTGGTTTTCGCACTCTAACTTTAGTTTAAGTGAATGGATCTCTATGAAATTTTACCACAAGGTTCAATACCACAAAAGGAAGGTTGGGATTGATTTTGGGTGTTATGGTACCAACAGTAAAGGAATTAGGGGCCAAAAAGGGGCCAAAAATAAGCATTTTTGTAACTTCCAGACATAACATGTGTGTTAGTGTATGGATCTCTCTGACATTGTACCACAAGGTTCCATATCACACAGGGAATGCTGGGATTGATTTTGGGGGTAATTGCCTCAAAATTTTAGGAATTAGGGGCCAAAAAAGGGGCAAAAAACAAGCATTTTTCTAGTTTCATGACAATAACTTGTGTTCAAGTGTATGGATCTCTCTGATATTGTACTGCAAGGTACCATACCACAAAGGGAAGGCTGGGATTGAAGATGGGGGTAATTGCTTCAATATTATAGGAATTAGTGGCCAAAAATGGGCAAAAAACAAGCATTTTTCTAGTTTCAGGACAATAACTTGTGTGTAAGTGTATGGATCTTTCTGAAATTGTACTACAAGGTTCCATATCACAAAAGGAAAGTTGGGTTTGAATTTGGGGGTAATTGCCCTAAACGTTTAGGAATTTGGGGCCAAAAAGACGCCAAAAAACACATTTTTCTAGTTTCCAGACAATAACTTGTGTTCAAGTGTATGGATCTCTCTGAAATTGTACTGCAAGGTACCATACCACAAAGGGAAGGCTGGGATTGAGTTTGGGGGTGATTAATCATAAGGGGGTTCAAAAAATATGGGGGGGGGGATATTTTTTTTTCCTTTTTTTTCTTTTTTTCCTTTTTTTTTTCTTTTAAAATTTTCCATTTTAAGTTGGTTATTTCTGATTTATATTTAAAAGCAAATAATAATGATATGGTAGGAGATACACACCAAAGAGGATGTGTAAATTATTATATAATAAGTATTGTGCAATAGCAAGAAATTTTCAATTGCACAGTATTGCACAATAGCAAGAAATCTTCAATTGCACAGTATTGAGCAATAGCAAGAAATCTTCAATTGCACAGTATTGCGCAATAGCAAGAAATATCCAATAGCACAATATTGCGCAATAGCAAGAAATTGTCAATTGTACAGTATTGCGCAATAGCAAGAAATATTTAATTGCACAGTATTGTGCAAAAGAAGATACTTTGTATAAATTGCTTATTTCTTGACCAATTTCAATGGGGTTTTATTCTTGAATTCTTGGGGTTCTTTAATATGCTGAATCTAACCGTGTATTTAGTTTTTGGATTTTGGGCCCGATTTTAAATTGGTCCACATTGAGGTCCAAAGGGTCCAAAATTAAAATTTGTTTGATTTCATCAAAAATTGAATTATTGGGATTCTTTGATATGCCGAATCTAACCGTGTATTTAGATTCTTAATTTTTGGTTCCGTTTTCAAATTGGTCTACGTTAAGGTCCAAAGGGTCCAAAATTAAACTTAGTTTGATTTTAACAAAAATTGAATTCTTAGGGTTCTTTGATATGCTGAATCTAAATATGTATTTAGATTTTTGATTATGGGCCCAGTTTTCAAGTTGGTCCAAATCGGGGTCCAAAATTAAACTTTGTTTGATTTCAACAAAAATTGAATATATGGGGTTCTTTGATATGCTGAATCTAACCATGTATTTTGATTTTTGGGCCCCGTTATCAACTTTGTCCACATTGAGGTCAAAAGGGTCCAAAATTAATTTCATCAAAAATTGAATTCTTGGGGTTCTTTGATATGCTGAATCTAACCATGTATTTAGATTTTGGATATTGGACCATAATAGGTGAATGTCCAATTTAAAATTTTTAAGTTCTTAGACCACATTCATTCTGTGTCAGAAACCTATGCTGTGTCAAATATTTAATCACAAACCAAATGCAAAGCTGTATCAAGCTTGAATGTTGTGTCCATACTTGCCCCTACTGTTCAGGGTTCGACCTCTGCGGTCGTATCAAGCTGCGCCCTGCGGAGCATTTTATTTTTATATGCTGAATCTAACCATGTTGTTAAATTTTAGATATCAGACCATTCTAGGTAAATTAAATGTCCCATTTCAAATTTTTAAGATCTTTGACAACATTTATTTTGTGTCAGAAACCTGTATTATGTCAAAAAATTTGATCACAATCCAAATTCAGACAGTTTCAAGCTTGAATATTGTGTCCAAACTTGCCCCAACTGCTCAGGGTTCAACCTCTGCGGTTGTATCAGGCTGCGCTCAGCAAAGCATTTTATTTATATAGATTAGAACGTTGGTTTTCCTGTTTGAATGGTTTTACACTAGTCATTTTTGGGACCTTTTATAGCTTGCTGTTCGGATTGAGCCAAGGCTCTGTGTCTCATTGGCACTCATACCACATCTTCTTATACAGTTTCAGAATGTAATTCATAATTTTGTTGATTCATTCATAAGCATTTTGTGTCAATAACTCTCCTTAACAAGAGGGGATATGAAGATCAACAGTGAGGTTTCAGATCCTATTCAATTTTTAATCAGAATGACTTAGCTCACCTGACCCATTTGGACCAAGGGAGCTATTGCCATAATTTGGGGGTCTGTTGTCATATGCTGATCTCTCAATACTGTAAATTCAGAAATTATTGCGATGTTTTTATTATTGCGAAAAATGCGACAGGGTTATAATCGCAATAATTTAAACTCGCATTTTGAAACTTGTTGTATGAATTAAACAGGATTTTTCTCAATATCGCAAAAATTAAAATCGCATTTTAGGCTAAAATGACAAAATCGCAATAATATATGCACGCAATAATTTCTGAATTTACAGTATATATATGGTAAATTTTTATTTTACTTGAAAGGAATGATGTATGAATGGTCCTCTTCAATCTATTCTCATTTGGTTCTGAAAGGATGAAAACATATAGCTGCAAGATTCAAAGTTTGATTCTAATTGGTCAATTAAAAGAACAATCCCTTTTTAAACTACTAGGCAAATGTTTTGAAAGTTTAGGAGATTGATGATCACTGAAACTAATTGGCAAATTTTAACCAAATTTGGCAGGAATTGTATATTGAAGGTTAACTATAATTTCCATTCAGTTTCAGTCAAACGAAAAAACTCGACCATCAGATACATCTTTAGTTATTATTGGCCAATTTTTTGTCTTGCTTGTAAAGAAATTGCAGAGGCATAACACTTTTTAGAGAATGATTTAAGATTTCAGTATATTTCTTTCACATTCCCAAATTTGGCTATGCATGGTTTGCTCATAAGTTGAGTTAAAATCATGTTCACAACATAAGCATAGTATTACTAAGATTATTTGGTCTATGGATAATAAATTTTTTAAGATAAAAAATATCTGTAAAATATTGGAGATGCAACACTATAACAATTTTTTCTCTGAACATCTATACTCCAACCATTGATAAATAGGCTACATTAAAACGCAATGGGAAGTGTGAAGATACAACAGTAAATTTCTGACATAAATTTGTAAAATGAAGAAATTGCTTATTTCAATTGTATAGAAAGACTATTTGGCCTGACTTCAAATTTATCAATATCTTTATTTTCATCTAAAGTTGACATAGATTCACTATAAGATTCACATGATGAATTGTTAAATTTTGCGATTAGATTAATTTAAGAGACACCACTATTTGCTATGCAGTTGTATTAGCGATAGTACATTTAATTTCCATGGAGATTGTTTGGCTTCCATTGAATACATGTATGTTTAAAGCGTTGCCAATTTAATTTCAACATTTGCATTACACTTGAAATAACATACTGTCAATATTTTGTAAAAATCTTCTTTGCCAAGAAATTACAAGGTAAAATGTTTAGAGACAAGGGTATTAAATGATGATTGGAAAACTTTGCATATGATCCTTCATTGATTTTTGATAGATTGGCAAATATAGTACAATGCCATTGGTGTCACAAAATTTATATTTTACCATATAAAATATAAAGTTTACATCTGATGGAATTAATCAACTTTAACCAAAGTTGTCTGGAAATTTGGTGCAGGGAATATAGCAGTAATGGTCTCTGTCTGTTTTTCCAAAACAAATCAAT